TATATATATATATATACATATATATGTACATATATGTACATATATATAAATACATGTCTATATATTAGTCCCTTATTTGTCTCACAGTCTTGGTTCCTCTGGGGCTCAGACCAGGCACCCAGGATGCTTGTAGACCAGGCACCCAGGACGCTTGTAAGGCAGACGTGCTAACCGCCACACTATGGACCCCAACACTGCAGGCCTTTTGTGGCCCTATGTTATACAGAATGTGGGCCACATCTCTCCCTATGTGGACTAGACAGGTCGGTTTATTAAACATAGGGCCGTGACAGGGTCAGAAATATAGGGTGAGTAATGTAATCAAGACGAATCTGGGCCGCAGCTCCACCTAAACCAAACATGGCCCAGTTCTGGATGGACCAGACAGGACTGCTCTGTCCAACACCAGGCCTGAAGCAGGGACAAAGATCTGGCCCACATTCTGAAGCATGGGCCAGTAAAGGTCCCTAACTCACTGGAAGATACAAAAACAAGTCTGGCTATATTAGAAAATGTATTCATATCTACAGACATATATTCCAGCTGCTGTGGTTGATTTCAGATGAAACACTAACTCTGGTCCTGGGCCCAGGGCTGAGCTGGCCTTTGCTCTCGTTATAAAAACAGACTTTCTCACAGAAAGCATCTTTTTCTTCCCCACTGAAAAATACTTTTGGACTTGAAAGGAGAGGCAGCCGTGACAAAGGGGAGTGTGTTTGGGATGATGAATATTCCGATGCTGCGTGAGTGTTTTCTGACACACTTTACCCTCCAACAGATGCTGCTTTGTCCACAGCAGCTGCTCTGAACCACACAACAACACAACCACATGTAGCGCTGCCGTGCCGATACATGGCAGAAAATCAGCCACGAAGAGGAGAAAACACACACTGGTCACTGAAGGAAGTGCAAACACTGCAGAGCGGCAGGTCCCACCTGGTGTCGATGGTTTAGACTGGTAATGGTGGTGCAATAGTCTGAAAGAAGTTCTTGTCTAATTAATAATTAGTAATAGACACCAGAGCTAACGTTAGCTACAACAGTCCTGGTACAAACACCAGAGCTAACATTAGCTACAACAGTCCTGGTATTGACACCAGAGCTAACGTTAGCTACAACAGTCCTGGTACTGACACCAAAGCTAACGTTAGCTGCAATAGTCATGGTACAGACACCATCACTAACGTTAACTACAACAGTCCTGGTACTGACACCATCACTAACGTTAGCTACAACAGTCCTGGTACAGAAACCAGCGCTAACGTTAGCTACAACAGTCCTGGTACTGATATCCTACTTTGTACTGTGAGTTTGTGCCAATCAGTGAACAGACCAATATTGATGATGTAATAACGGGTACGCGGTCGTTGCCCCGACCCTCAGATCTCCTCACAGTCATTAGATCTGTGAGCAGCAGCATTAGGAGTTGGACGAGTCAACAATGGTGTCACAGTGCAGCGGGCGTCGTGAGTTCACACTCACAGAGAGACTGTCATTGTCTCCGAGTCGAACCAGGAGACAAACAGAGGCCGTGTCCTCACAGAGAGGGCGGCCGTGACTGACACAGCCACTGAAGGTCCAGAGAATGTCTGGACCCGGGCCAACACGCCCTAATTTTTTTCCTCATCATCTACCCAACGTGACCCTCCTCCTGTCCCATGGTGCTCCGAGGTTGCTGGGACGACACCTTCAAAGACGACCCTCCCTCAGCGCCGAGCCACCACTGAGCGTTCAGCACAGCCGAGTGCGTGGGACTTGGGTCCAGCTTGGAAGTGGACTTCTGAGAAAATAGACAAGAGGTCGACTCCACCCAACCTCGACTGCAGATAGCATGGCCTCAGCGAGCGGCTCGGGACAGAGCAGCTTCGGTCTCGGGAGGAAAAAGAAGAATCCAGGACTCATGGATCAATTTAGCAAATTGTTTGGAGGAGAGAAGAAGAAGAGGAGCAAGGTGAGACGGGGCTTTGAACTGGAACTCTAGTCGGCGTCGGGCGGTCGTTAAAACATGTTTCTCTGCTGCGATTGGTCAAATTTACCTACGAATTCTGTTTGTATTTTTCCTCTGTTTAATTTCCTAGATTTATTTTGTTAGATTTCATATTTTTCCAATTAGACTAACTTTTAAGGAACATGACGCTTTCATTAAAGTAAATATATTGTCATTTTCCGTTTTGTTTTTTTTTTAGATTTTTTTTATTTTAATTCATTTTTACTTTTCACATTTGCAGGATAAATTCTTATTATTTAAATTCTTTGGTCAACTTCTCATTTCGTCGAGATATTCCAAAAATGTACTTTTACTTTTTCAAAATTATTCTCTGACATAATCTATGGGAATAAATACTGAAGTTGAAATTGAATTGGTAATGTGAAAAAAAAAAGTAAACAGAAATGATTTTTGAAATGTTGTAGCTTAGTATTTGGCTCCGGAATGTTTGGATTGAGTTTAATTTATATAAAAGGTCTGCGTCGATCGAAAGAATAAGAATTTAAGCTGATTTATCGCTGGGTGAACTCACACATATATAGCTATATTTAAAGTAAATATGAAAATATATAAAATACAAAATTGCTCTCATACACATATTTACATATGTATACACACATTTACTTTCCATTTGATATTTCATATGAAAC